CATTGACATTTTTATTGCGATCATTGTGGATTCCCCTGCAGTTGGAAGAAATAATGCAGAGATTCCATTGTACGCTTTGCTCAGTCTCCCCCAATAGGGCTGCATTTTGCAAAATGAAATCAATATCTCCACCAGGATGTTGACATGGATCCCATCACCTGCTTTATCCAGATTTCTGATTTCCCAGTTTTACTTGCTCTCCTCTCTCTCTCTCTCTCTCTCTCTCTCTCTCTCTCTCTCGTGTGTGTGTGTGTGTGTGTGTGTGTGTGTGTTGTCTACAGTTGTATCAACTGAATAGGTTCCTGTATCCACCACCACAAGGACCCCTCCAGCTGCCCTGTTACAACCTCAGCCCCTCCCGTCTCTAATCCCCCGGCAACCACTCATCTGTTGTCGTTTCAAACGCGCCACATAAACGGAATCTTATGTTATGTGACCTTTGGCCTTGTTTCTCTTGGCGTAGTTCCTTGGAGCCATCAGGATTTTAAAAACTTGGGGGGTCGGGGAGCCAGGTTGACATACCTACATCCACCTGCCTTTTCTCCCAGCAGTTTATATTTTGAGGCAGCCCAGGTGCCTCAGGTTCCTCATCTGTTAAACCGAGAGAGGAAAGCCCTCAGCTCCCAGGCGAGTTCCGAGTTCCGAGTTCCGGGGCTTAGAGCAGATGGGGAAGCAGATGCCCGCAGGCAGGACCTGGCCCTGCGAGGCTTTGTGACATCACACCAGGTTGCTATGGCAGCAGCCCAAAAGCCGCCCGGGATGCTGCCGCCTTGGCCTCGCTGGCTTGTTGGTGATTCGAGGAGGCATCTGTGTCACATGCTCCCACGGGCCAATGAGGAGGTGGTCCAGAGGCAGGGTTCAGCCGAAGCTTCAGATGGAGGGCGGGGGTAAAGGTAGAATTAAATTAAGGCAAGTTTGTTCCTCATTCTTCAGAGTTAAAATGCCTTCCCTGGATTCCTTCCAAAAAAAAAAAAAAAAAAAAAGGTTCTGGAGTTGGGATTCATTGCCATATCTTGAGGCTCCAACCTTTGTAAGCCCCCAAAGCTAACAGCTTGACTTGGCGGTGCACAGTTCCCCGCTCTGAAGAGGGCATTGTGGGCATTTTGCCATCTCTTGACGTTCTCATACCTAGAAATAAGAGTCAGCCTGGGAGGTTTCAAAATTAATATATTCTGTGGTTGGTTTATAAACCATCGTTGTGGGCGATTCTCACAGATTGTTGCTGTTCCTACGCCCACGAACAGATGGGAACAAACACCCTAGGTAGGTCATTTTGCAAGACAGGCAGTTAAATTGCTGACGATGTTTTGTCATTTTCTTCTCTGAAACCAATGTTTTGGGCAGAAATGGGGCTGGGTCACCTGCCTGTTTGGGCAAGCCCATTAGTACCCCATTGCTGGGTAACGAGTCACCCCAAAACAAAGTGACTTGAAACAACAAGAAACACATTTTATTTTCATAACGTGTGTGGGTCAGGAATTCAGAAGTAATTTGGCTCCGTGGTTCTGGCTCAGGGTCTTTCATGAGGTTGCGGCCAGAATGTCAGCCAGGGCTGCCTCACCTGATGGCCTGGCTGGGCCTGGAGGAGTCGCTTCCAGGACGGCTCCCTCGTGTTGCTGCTGGTGACGGGCTCCGCGCCTCTCCCTGTGGCCCCTCCACGGAGCTCCTTGCGTGTCCGCACAGCGTGGCAACCGGCTCCCCACGGAGTAAGTGGCCCAAGAGAGAGAGGGCTGGAAGCCTCCCGTCTTGTATGACCTAGTTAGTCTCAGAAGTCACAGACTTACCTCTGAAATCCTACTGGTTCCACAGGCAGCCCAACTCAGCGTGGAGGGGACTGCACAAGGGGGCGAATACCAGGGGACAGGGCCATCCTGGAGGCTGCCCACCGTGGTGGCATTTTCACACAAAAGACCATCTGTTGATTCGAAACACACCACAGGCCCTAACCGGTTTGGTTCAGTGGATAGAGCATCGGCCTTCAGACTCAAGGGTCCCAGGTTCGATTCCGGTCAAGGGCATGTACCTTGGTTGCGGGCACATCCCCAGTGGGGAGTGTGAAGGAGGCAGCTGATCGATGTTTCTCCCTCATCGATGTTTCTAACTCTCTATCCCTCTCCCTTCCTCCCTGTAAAAAATCACTAAAATACATTTAAAAAAATAAATAAATCAAAACACACCACAGCCCTAACCGGTTTGGCTCAGTGGATAGAGCGTCGGCCTGCGGACTGAAGGATCCCAGATTCGATTCCGGTCAAGGGCATGTACCTTGGTTGCGGGTACATCCCCCGTAGGGGGTGTGCAGGAGGCAGCTGATCGATGTTTCTCTCTCATCAATATTTCTAACTCTCTATCTCTCTCCCATCCTCTCTGTAAAAAAAAAATCAATAAAATATATTTTTAAAAAAGAAGGAAGGAAAGGACAAATAGTGTTTCATACCACAAAACAATCTTTAAAAAAGAGAAGAAACTCACCACCGCAAACCAAGATGATGATGGGTGTCGGCATCCACGCCCCCGGCCACACCCCACTCTAGGTCCCGGAGTCTTGGGGGAGGACATGTGACCAAGGCCTGGCCGATAAGTGTCAACATGGAGAAAGTGTGGGGGTTGTTGCTAGTTCCCTGGGTGTGCTGGGAGCATGGCAGCCCGTGCCGGGGGCCGTCTTTGTCACTGTGCTACAAGAGCCAGAACACAGGAGAGTAGAGCAAGAGATGGAGGAAAGTGAGGGACAGGAAGAGAGAGGCCGGGGTAAGGCCTTACTCATCTGAGCCCACCTTCCAGCCTTGCCTGCAACCATCCCTTCTTCTGAACATTTCAGTGTCAAAAGCCAATCCTTTATGTTGTTCAAAACAATTAGGAGGGCCCTAACTGGTTTGGCTCAGCGGATAGAGCGTCGGCCTGCGGACTCAAGGGTCCCAGCTTCGATCGGGTCAAGGGCATGTACCTTGGTTGCGGGCACATCCCCAGTGGGAGGTGTGCAAGAGGCAGCTGATCGATGTTTCTCTCTCATCGATGTTTCTCTCTATCCCTCTCCCCTCCTCTCTGTAAAAAAGCAATAAAATATATTTTAAAAAAAACAATTAGGAGGGTGGTTTCTGTCATTCATAACACGATGCCATCAACAGATGAACAAATAAATTAAACACGCTGGAATGTTACTCAGCCGTCCAAGGAGTGAAGCACCAACGCTCGCTACAACGTGGATGGGCCTTGAGCCCACGGTGCCCACCGAGAGAAGCCAGACACAAAAGGCCACAGAGTGTGTGGATTCCATTTATGTGAAACCCCCAGAGACAGAGAGCGGATTAGTGGTTGTCAGGGGCTGGGGGAGGGGTGTTCCGAGGTGATAGAAATGTTTTGGAATTAGATAGAGGTGGTGGTCCCACCGCATCGTGAATGCACGCATTGCCACCACGTTGTACACATTAAAATAACCGCGTGCCATGTGATTTGCACATTAATAGTAATTTAAAAAGAGAGAAAGGTCATGATGTCCCGCCCGGCGTTGCCTCTCCCTTCTGCTGGCTCCTCTCCCACCCACACCCGGTTCATCCCCGGTTCTCCAGGGAATCCTCCAGTTTCTACCCCCTCTTTTAAGCAGAACAGCTCCTCTTCCCACACTGGCCACACCAAGGCATTTGACCTCCCCTGACCGATCCCACCAGTTCCCTCCATTTCCTCATCCCTAAATGTCAGCTGTTCTTCAGCCCCTCCTTCCATTAAAAGAAGTAAGGGGAACCTTTACATGCAAATGAAGAAATACATCCAGGCACATGGTTGAGGGGAAAGCCAGGATGCACTGATGGTTTAATTCTTTTCTACAGGAACATAAATGTATGTCAATGGATAGAAAAAAAACACACAAAAAAACAGGACCCTCTCCAGGAAGCACCTTGCCCCGAAGCTGAGTTACCGCAGGTGACAGCTATGCCTCGTGCGGGTCACCATCTTTCCAGTCCCCCAGCATCCATTTTCTCACGGCCTGTCCATGAAGCAAATGTCCTATATTTTAGATTTTTGGTCATTTTGTTTTTTAAAAAATATATTTTTATTGATTTCAGAGAGGAAGGGAGAGGGAGAGAGAGCATCAGTGATGAGAGAGAATCATTGATCGGTTGCCTCCTGCACGCCCCACACTGGGGATCGAGCCCTCAGCCAAGGCACGTGCCCTTGACCAGAATCAAACCTGGGACCCTTCTGTCTGCAGGCCAACCCTCTATCCCAGTGGTCGGCAAACGGCGGCTCGCGAGCCACATGCGGCTCTTAGGCCCCTTGAGTGTGGCCACGAAGTTTCCATGGCACTGTACGTGCGCGCCCGCACGTGGTATTTTGTGGAAGGGCCACACTCAAGGGGCCGCAGTTTGCCGACCACTGCTCTATCCACTGAGCCAAACTGGCTAGGGCTATTTTTGGTCATTTTAGAACGCCTCTCAGGTCCTAACTTCCGGGTGGGTGACATTCTGGCCCACCTGTCTGCCACAACGAACAGTGGGCTCAGGTCACGCTGGGTCTGAGCGCTGCCTCGCTGAGGCTCCTCAAACTGCCCCAAGGAGAGTCAGACAGCAGGCTACAGGGCCAGTTTCATTTTCTTTTTAATATATTTTTGTTGATTTCAGAGAGAGGAAGGAAGAGAAACACGCTGAGAGAGAATCATTGATTGGCTGCCTCCTGCACTGCCCCCTACTGGGGATCGAGTCAGCAACCCCAGCATGTGCCCGGATGGGGAATTGAACCCTGACCTCCTGATTCATGGGTCAATGCTCAACCACTGAGCCACATCGGCCAGAGCAAGTTTTCTTTAATGAAAAAAAGAACAAAGCTGAACAAAAGTCTGGGTTGAACAGTCATACCATGAGGCAAAGACTCCCCACCTCGCAGGCACCTGCCAGCTCCCCCAGCTGCCCCCAAGGCCATCCCCTCTGGAGGAACAGAAACAAAAATGGAGCCTGGGTCCCTGGCATCAACATGCAGAGAGAGGCCCCCTCTGCCCCCCGGGGGTGCTAGATGCTCCGCAGCATGCAGAGAGCGCGATGCAGGAACTGGCGAGCGGCGGGGGGACAGCCGTGGCTCTGCAGGATCCCCAGCGTGTAAGAGGCGCCAACCTGGCCCCGTTCCCAGACCATGAGCAGCAACTCTTCAGGCCCCCGACTCAGCACCAGGTGAACCTGGTCTCCGCTGCAGCTGACCTGCCAAAGTAAGAGCCGAGGTCAAGGAGAGGAGGGTGCCCCCGGGGCTGCCCCAGGTGTGCCCCCCACCAGAGAGAAGGAAAAGTGGATCGGAGACTGAAAGCCCCCGACCTGGGTCTCAGCGGCTGCCCCACTCCGAGGAACGCACAGAGTTGGGAGCCCAGAGTTTTAGGTACAGACGAGGGAACTGAGTTCAGATAGGACCTCCCCGCCCTCGGTCACCCAGGGAGACCTCCGTTCTCAATCCCGTGACCTGGGGAGCCCCAGTCCTTCCACGACCAGTTTCCCCAAGTGTTCTGCGGAGCCATGAAGGCCATTCTCGCTGCCTGAGGCCCAGCCCAGCTCGGGGCATTACCCACACTCTAGTCTGGACAGCTAGGGTTGTTTTTACTGCTGTAAATTTAAAAAAATACTTAAAAATGATAATAATGAGCCCTGAACGAGTAGCTCAGTTGGTTAGATCATTGTCCTGATGCACCGAGGTTGCAGGCTCAATCCCTGGTCATGCAAGGATCAGCCAATGAACGCATGAGCCAGTGGGCCAGCACATCGCCAGGACTGCTCAGGGAAAGCTCAACCTAAAAATGATTTTCTGCTCAGCCAGTGCAGCTCAGCGGTTGAGCGTAGCGTCAACCTATGAACCAGGAAGGTCATGGTTCGATTCTGGTCAGGGCACATGAATCAATGTAGGTTCAATGCCCCAATGAGGGGCACGCAGGAGGCAGCAGATTGATGATTCTCTCTCATCACTGATGTTTCTCTCTCCCTCCCTCCCTCCCTTCCTCTCTGAAATCAATTTAAAAAATAGTTTTTAAAAGTTTTTTCCAAGGAAATGACTTTTTAAAAAATCCTCACCCAAGGATATGGTTTCCCCTTTTCTTTAGAGAGAGGGGGGGGAGAGAGAGTGAGAGAAACGTAGATGTGAGAGACAAACATCAACTGGCTGCCTCCCATACAGGCTGGGATGGGGGTGGAAACTGGTGCACAGGACGACTCCCGAACCCGCTGAGCCAGCCGGCCAGGATGGAAATGACATCTGACAGCTGCTCAATGTAACCAGCCACAAAGATGACCCAAATTCCACTTTGCCGTTACTTAAACACATCTTCTTTTCTTCCTTTTCTTTTTTTTTTTTAACACATTTTATTTTCAATCTTGCAGTTTTTGCACTCAGGAGCCAATACTTTGCTCCCCCTGCAGGAGCCAGCTGTTTCCCGGAGCCCCTGAACAGTGTGCATTGGGACAGCCAGCGTGGTCCAGGGGACAGGCCGCCCCCAACCTGCTGACCCCCTCCCCGGGGCTCCTGCAGAGAAGGGCCCACGCTCACCTGCACTGTGCCATCGCTGAAGAGCAGCAGCAGGGCCTGCTGGGATGCAAGGAAGCGCAGCAGGCAGAGGCCGGGGCTGGCAGACTGGGTGGGCGCAGGCAGGCCCTCTTCCTGAGGACAGACCCAGCCACGAGGGTCTTAGGCCTCTCCACCTGCCAGTCCCACTGCCCCCCCCCCCGGCCCCCTGGCCCCCCAGGCGTCACCTCTCGAAGCCGCTGCTGCATGTAGCCAGCAAAAAGCCGCAGGACGGCCAGCTTGGCGCCCAGGGAGCTGGGACATCCCTCAGGGCAAACACTTCCAGCTTCCCTCGGCAGGCATGTAGCTGACCTGGCTGAGGGTGGGGCACAGGGGGTGTCAGCGGTCCCGGCCTCTGTCCTGGGACACATTCCCACCCAGCCACGCCCCCTTGGATGGTGGCTTTGAAACCCAGTGCCACACGGACCACCCCTCTCTGTGGGTCCAGCCCCAGCCCCTTCTCAACTCCAGACTCTGGAACCATGGACGCCGCCTGTCCACTGAGATCCCGATTGGCACCCACACGCACCCTCCTGCCATCTTCCCGTCTCGCCCAGGGGCTGCTCCGTCCTCCCTCTCTGCCAGCTCAGTTGAGATCCCAGCTCCCTCGCATCTCGGCTCTGCCACCTCCCGGCCAAGTCACTGCCATGGCCCAGCCGACCAGTCCACCACCTCCCTGCTGGTCCCCTGCATCCCTGCCGCCAGAGATCTTGTCAAAAGTGTGAGGTGGGCTCTGACTGGTTTGGCTCAGCGGATAGAGCATTGGCCTGTGGATTGAAGGGTCCCAGGTTCGATTCCGGTCAAGGGCATGTGCCTGGGTTGCGGGCACATCCCCAGTGGGGGGCGTGCAAGAGGCAGCTGAATCGATGTATCTCTCTCATCGATGTTTCTAACTCTGTATCCCTCTCCCTCTCCCTTCCTCTCTGTAAAAAATCAATAAAATATATTTTTTTTAAAAAAGTGTGAAGCGGGTCCCTCCTTCCTGCCCCAACCCCAGCAGTGGCCTCCCAGGCCCCTGACTTTCGCATCCTCCGTCTCCCCTCACTCACTGTGGAGCCCCCACTGTTCCTGACACCCACTCTGCTGGGTCATGTATGCTGTTCCCTGCACCTCAAATGCTGGTCCCAAAGGCTCCATTGCACCATCCGTCCTGCCCGAATGTCACCTCTTCAGAAAGCCCCTCACAAGCATGCTGGCATGGGCCACCCCCAATCTGTCACCTCACCCAGTCATTTCCTTCAGAAAAGTGCTACCTGAAATCAACGTATCCATTTGTTTACCGTCGTTCTTCCCTAGCAGGCAGCGAGTCCCTGCAGGTGTACACAGTAGGTACTCACATACTTGAGGAATGGATGCAGAAAGGCAGGGGGAGAAGCTGGCCCCCCAAGGGGACAGGAGCCCCACGGCTTACCCCCCGGGGGGACGCAGGGCCATGTGGGTGCCATCCCGAAACAAGACACCGCAGCTCCCGTCCAGCAGCTGGTAGCCGAAGCCGTACTTGCGGGAATAATCCACCCACTTGGGGGCCCAGAGGACTGGCCGCTGCTCTCTCGGCGGGGCCTGCGTGACTGGGCACAGAGGCGAGGTGAACTGAGTGGGCGGAGGGACCGCAGACACCCCGGAGATGTTGAGAAACGTCCAAAAAATGAAAAACCAGCTCTTGCCTTTGTGGGGGGAGGACTGGGACGCGGGGAACGCTCACCGCCTCTGGGGATGAGTGATTCTGAAACGCCTGCAATGCCCCAAATACCGTAAGGCTTTACTTTACTTGATTAAAAATATTTGTCTTAAAAATAAAAATTGCTCAGTGCCATGTGGGGCCCTGTATTGGATCCTGGGGGAGGAAAGAGTCGTTAGGGGGGAAATGGGACATCCAGTCGCCAAGGGCAGACAAAGTTCCGTGCTGTCTTGGTAGCGTCTCTGAAAAGTTACCTCGAATTCTCTTTTACTGTTCATTTAAAACTGAAATTAAAGTTGGCTCCAGCTTGGCCAGCGTGGCTCAGTGGTTGAGCGTCGACCTGTGAACCAGGAGGTCACGGTTCAATTTCCAGTCAGGGCACATGCCTGGGTTTCGGGCTCGATCCCCAGTAGGGGGCGTGCAGGAGGCAGCCAATTGATGATTCTCTCTCTCTCTCTCTCTCTCTCTCTCTCTCTCTCTCTCTCTCTCCCCTCCTCTTTGAAATATATATATGTATGTGTGTGTGTGTGTGTGTGTGTGTGTGTATTTCAGTTGGCTCCAGTTGATAAAAGACAAGCTTAAAGTTTGGGGTTCTTCTTTGTTACACAATCAGGGAAAGCTGAACAAAGAAGTGAAATGGATCCCACAAAAAAGGAAAGGCTTGGGGCTCCCTCTCCAGGCAGAGGAGGGTCCTGCTGGGGGGGGGGGTGGCGGGTAGGACACGTGGGTTGTGGAGAAGGAGGGCTTGGGGATCTGGGACTCGGGTATGGGACAGGGTTCCACCTCAGGGCGTAGCTGGGACATGGGTTCAGGGTGGGTGAAGTTCTGATGTCTCATTTCCTCCCTCCATTTCTCTCGTCCCCTCTCTGGTTCTCAAGCAGGACTCAATTACAAATTAGAGACTCAGACCCCGAAAAAACGAGGGTGTCCCCCAGAGCCCTCCACACCACATCACTCAAACTAAACAGTCTTCATAAAGGACATAGAAAGAGGTCTCAGAAAGTTCTAGACTTCTCACACAAGGATAGCCTACAGTGGTCAGCAAACTGTGGCTCGCGAGCCACATGCGGCTCTTTGGCCCCTTGAGTGTGGCCACGAAGTTTCCATCGCACTGTACGTGCGCGCCCGCACGTGGTGTTTTGTGGAAGAGCCACACTCGAGGGGCCGCAGTTTGCTGACCACTGGCCTACATCGTGCTATCCTCAGCCTCCTTACAAGGTAAGGAGACAGGCGTAGAAGGTTCAGTGACTCGCCTGGAGTCACTGTGTCCTGAAACCTCCCTTAAAGCTCTCCCACCGTGGAACCCCAGAAATACCCCCAAGGGGGGGCCTGGATGGGGACAGGGTACCTTTCCTCAGAGATTGAGAGACAGGGTGACCCGGTGGCCTAGGCTGTGCTCCTACCTGGAGGTCCAGGGTTCAGGCAGAGCTGTAGGTTTCTAATGGCCTCCTCCACCTCCTGTCTTGGGCTCCCCCCAGACCCTGGGGAGACAGATGTATGTGAGGTCAGGGAGAGAAGGAGAGAGGGGACGGGCAGGCCTGGGTCCCCACCATGAGGGGCCCCTTCAACTAGCCTGGCCCCGAACTCTCGCATCTGGGAAAATCTTACTTTAAACCCAGAAGGATTCCAGACATCACTCCCATTTCATAGACGGGAAAGTTGAGGCCAAGAGAGGGGCCCGGGCCCTGGCAAGGCACTGTCTTTGTCTCCTGCCTCGACCCTCACTCCCCACCCACGGCCCCCACCTCGGATAGTCTGCTCACCAGCTGGGTCACTCTGGAGGGTCCCTTGGGTGGACAGCTGGACAGGGACCTCAGGTCGGAGAGCCCCTCTCTCCAACGGGGAGTCCTGGGGAGGGAGCAGGGGTGAGGGGTGCCCCAGCCCCTGGGGAGAGGCCTGGGGTGAGTAAAGGGCTCCGGCTTCGCTCCCCAATTTAAAGATCCCCTACTTCTCCCTCTGCTCAATCCCACCGAGGGTACCTCCTGTGTCCCCCACGCTGAGCCCTCACCTCACTGCCCCGCTCCATGAAGTCAGCGACAGAACCATCTTCTGGACAAGAGGCCTCGTTGGGGGTGTGGGGGCCTGAGGGAGGCACAGAATTTGGGGGGTTGCAGAGCCTGGCCCCATGCGGAGGGAGGCACTTGCCATTTATCTCCTCCTCTGCATGGTGCGCCGCAGAGCAGGCTGGGAGCATGGCAGGGGTGTGAGGGCAGAACAGCTGTGGGCAGGTAGGAGCAGGTGAGCGGTGGGCAGGCATGGTACTCACAGGGGAGCTGGCACTGGCTCATTAGCAGCTGGCCCACCTTCCGGAAAAGCCTGCCCAGAGGCTGAGGATTGGCAAAAATGGGCGGGCTGTGGCAGGAGTGGGGTGGCAGCCGGTCCGGAGTGAAACCCTTCAGAGCGGGGCGATAGGGGTGGGCACCCCACTCAGATTGTCTGGCTCCTGAGCACCTGGGCCACCTGGGGTCCTGACCCTCCCTGGACCTTGGCTGAGACACCCCAGAGAAGGACCCAGGCATCCAGGGGCCATCACCTGCTGAAGGTCACACACCTGCGTGAAGAAGTTGTCCTGCAGTAGGTGGTCCAGGCTGGGCCGCTCGGCCGGGTTGGGCGCCAGCAGGCGGGCAATGAGGCGACAGGCATTGGGCGACACGTGGGCAGGCTCCTGGTAACGGCCTTCCCGGATGTGTTTATACATCTCTGACAGGGAAGCCGCCGTGAAGGGTGGGTCGCCAGTCAGCACCATGTACCTGAGCGAGGGAGGGGGGCAGGAGCCTAAGTGCCTGCTGGCCTCTGTCCTGGGTTGGCTCAGAGTTGGCTCACACCTACCTGAGTACACCTGGCCATACCTACCCACCTTTCCCTACTCTATACATGCTTCCCATCCATCCACATTCCCATACACACCCTACATCCCCTCCCACTTGGCCGTTCCTGTCTGCTTGGTAGACACTGGCATCTGTAGACACCAGCCTATACCTGTACATACCTGAACACAACTGTGCAATTTCCTTTTCTGCGTGCTCACACCTGCTCCACCCTGCATGTACTTCTTCCCTGTATATAGGCCCTGATCTGCCTGTGCACCTAGCACCTACACACACTTGTCAACACATCTTTTTTAAAAATATTTTTATTGATTTCAGAGAGGAAGGGAGAGGGAGAGAGAGATAGAAACATCAGCAATGAGAGAGAATCAGTGATCAGCTGCTCCTGCACGCCCCATACTGGGGATTGAGCCCACAACCTGGGCACGTGCCCTGACCGGGAATTGAACCTGGTTCATAGATCAATGTTCAACCACTGAGCCATGCCGGCTGGGCTCAACACATCTCTGAATAGTCAAACCTCCCTCGCACATACATCCTCCCATATCCCTATCCATACCTGCATGCTCAAATGATGGCTGATGTGTGCTCCTCCCACCTGCCCCATATCTGCACATATCTGTTCACATCTGTCATGTATATGCTCATACCTGCTGTCCCCCCACTCAACTTCCTGTGTACTTCCTTATACCTACCCTTACCTCCTTGCATGTTCCCACCCACCCACACCTGGCACTATCCGGATACTCCTGCCCCCCCACCCCCAGGCCCAAGCTCCTAGGACCCCACTTACATGATGCAGCCCAAAGCCCAGATGTCTGACTGGCAGGAATGCCCATCCCTGGAGACAACCTCTGGGGCCAGGAAGTTTGGGGTCCCACAGAGCACTCTGGGAGGGGATAAGGGGGACCTCAGGAAGTCTGCCAGACCAAGGTCACCTGTGCCCACCCTGAGAGACTGCTCCAAGCCTCCACCCTCACCTGTGGCATCGGCCCCCTGGCCCCACCCTGGCAGCCAGCCCCAGGTCCCCGATCTTCACCTCCATATTCTTGTTCAAAAAAAAGTTACCTGCCAGTGGGAAGGAGAGGCATGGACATGAGAGGAGGAGTCAAGTCCCAGCTCCCATGGCCCCCGCGGTTCCCACAGCTCCCCTCCCCACACTCACTGAGCTTTAGGTCTCGGTGCACAATACGTTGCTGGTGCAGGTAGCGGAGGCCGCTCACCAGGCCCCGCAGGTAGTAGCGTACCTCAGGCTCCGTCAGCGTCCGCCGCACCTCCAGCACGTGGGCCAAGGACTGCAGGGGACAGGGATGAGCTCAGGTGGACTTAAGTGGGCAAAGTGAGTGCAAGAAGTCTGTGAAGGCACCACTAGTTCAGCTGGGGGCATGGGGCATGGCTAAGGGCAGGAGGGACACAGGTGGGCCCAGGTACCACGATGAGTGTGAGATGAGCCTGGTGACCACGGAATAAACTGGGCACAAATGAACACAGGTGAGCCTAAGAGAGTCAAGCGAGCCTGGGATGCGCACAGGTAGGCCTGGTGCGGGCACAGGGAAGTGCGGTGGAATGCAGGGGTGGATGAGGTCAGCACAGCAGGCATGGAGGTGTGCAGGCACCCTCGCCGCCCCACCCGCGGACACCTTGCGGCTGCAGTACTCCAGCACCATGTACACGTGGTCACGGTCAGCAAAGTGTCCGTGGAAGGCCACGATGTTGCGGTGTCGTAGGCGGCTGTGCAGGGCGATCTCTCGCTCCACCTGCAGGCACATCCTATGTGTCCACACCCTGCACGCAGTATCCATACCCATAGGCATCCTCCCGGGCCTCCAGGGCTGGGACCTCTCTGGGAACCCAATGGGGGCATGGGGCATGGGGCCCCTGGGCACGGATGGGGGGGCCATACCTTCCCAAAGGGGCGCAGACTCCGGACCCCGGGCCCCCCACGCGGCACCACCTTGAGAGCAAACACAGTGCTGGTGGACATGTCCGTCAGCTTATAGCAGCGGCTGAAGGCACCCTTCAGGGAGGGATTCACACGCTCAGTGAATAGGTGGTCAGGCCGCTACACACACACACACACACACGCACACACATACACACACACATACACACACACGCCTGAGACGCACACACATACACACACACGCCTGAGACGCAGACACACAACTCACACCCTCATACCTGGACACTCAATGCAACACCTGGGAACAAACAAACACAGGGACACATCCACTCAGGCACAGAAAACAGAGAGATGTGCAACCCATTCAGACACACACACACACACACACACACACACACACACGCCTGGAAACAGCAGGACAGGGTTTAGAGAAAGGCACGGAGATCTGTCACACCCTCGGTGGTCACATACCCACACCCCTGGACACACAACTCAGGGACACAGCACAACCCGCCAAATACTGGTTCCCGCCACACAACGCACGCCCTACAGACGGTTCACTGCAGATCAGGCGCCCAGACCAACGCCAGACCCCAAACTCGCGCGGGCACAACACGTACAGACAGAGACAAGCCTGGCGCGCACCCCGCAAACAAGCTGGACGCATGCCACCCCTCTACGCTCAGGATCCGCGTGCACAGCCCGCCCCGCCCCGCCCCGCCCGGACCCCCGCCTGGCCCGGCCTGGCTGCGAAGTCGGGGTTCCGGGTCCCCACCTTGCCGATCAGCTTCCCGCGCTTGTAGACGCGCCCCGAGCCCGGGTCGCGCAGGAAAGCAGAGACCAGCTGGCGGCAACTGCGCCGTCGCCGCGGCCGGGGCTCCATCCCGCGCGGGGGCCTGCAGGGAGCAGGGAGCAGGGAGGATGGAGCAGGGAGAGGGAGCAGGGAGCAGGGAGAGGGAGCAGGGAGCAGGGAGAGGGAGCAGGGAGCAGGGTGTGGGCACTGTGCAGCCTCCCAGCCGGACCACCTGGCAGTGCAGCGCCGCGCAGCTGCTCTGGGAACCGCTCTGCGGGCGGGGGGAGCGCGTCTTGTTGGCTGAAGAGGGCTGGTCCGGTGCGGGAGAGGGCAGGTGCGTGGGGGCGCGCGGCGGGAGTTCCAGTGACAGAGCGGCGCTCGCGTCCCGCCTGCTGCCCCGGTGCGCTCAGCCTGGCTCTTGCAATCCTGCGCCTCCCGCCAAGCTGCGAGCGGTCAGCACGCAGTTTCGCTGAACGGGAAACGGAGTCCCAGGGATTGTGTTAGTCTCTCCGAGGCCGCCCAGGGAAAGGTGGGTGGGTTGGCGCTTGGCGGGCTCTCCCCAAAGTGCGCTGGAGAAGTGAGTCTGGTCCTTCCGAATGCCTGTGACACTGTGGGGCTTGATTACCTGGGCGCTGGGGGGCGCAGCAGGATTCAGGGGCTGAGAAAGAAGCCCAGTATCTCTGGGGCTGAGGCTGGTGGGGAGGGAGTGAGGCCTGGGGCAGGGACCCAGAAGGGGGTTGGCTCCGGGTTGGGAGGTGTCATATAAAGGACACTTGACAGTGACAAGGGACAGGATTTAGGGACCGATGGGTGGACTGGGGTTTATGATTCGTGGCATGGGCTGCCAAAGAGAGGAAGTCAGATGGGAGGACAAGTGGGCAGGCTCGCCCCCCCTCCCCCAACACCGAATACTGTGGGGGCATCTCTGAGCTGTGGCCCAACTTCAGTTCTAGGCACTTTTCTTGCCTTCTCCCATTTCACTGTTACCCCGATCCTGGGACATGGGAACTGGCCTGTGTCCATTTTACAGGTAAGCACACTGAGGCCCAGGGAGGTTAGGGTGCTTACCCAGCCAGGAAGGGACAGTGCTGGGTTTGAATTTGGGCTGCTGCCTCCGGCTGCCTCAGTATTAATCCCCGAATGTTACATAACACAATGAATGGGGAGGGGTTAGCAGGGCTTCATGCGGCTGGAATCAGACCTAGGAATTTTCCAGAGACCAGATTTTGGAATCTGGCCCAGCCATGCCACCAGGGACAGGAAACACCTTCTGAGTTGTCACATGGTCGCATGGCACTTCAAATGGGGGCCCCAGAGCATTTGAGGGAGCAAGACTCAGGGACCTTTGTGGGGGCGGCTTCAGCACCAGGGCCAAAGGGTTTCAGGACAGTGAAGGGGGTCAGCTGGCTGTGACCTGGAGCCGAGACCCTGCTAATGAGAACCAGGTGCAGTGTGACAGAAGATGGGCAGTTGGGGGGAGGGGCCTGGGTCTGAGCAGTCATGTCACTGTCACCCTGGAATCCATGAGGGCAGGCAGCTGGTTCCTTTTCAATAGTACACCTCCATCCATGTGCTAATTCAGTATGTTAAATAGTGTGGGGAACCTGTGCTCAAGACAGACCCACCCAGGCCTCATGAAAAAACTGCCAGGAGATCGTCAGACTTAACCTAGGGGAGGGTTCTGTAGGTGAATGTGAGTAAGCCAGGACCCCTTCCTGGCAGTGGCTTGTCCGGGAGGTAGATGCTATCCTTAGCTTCATGTTACAGAGGAAGAAACTGAGGCTTGCATGGAAGGCACGTGCAAGCCAGAGGCACTGGGTTGTGGCCAAACCCTGCCAGAAGTGTAGGTCAGTGGGTCCAGAGCCCCTGCCCCCCTAAACCATCCTGGGAGGGAAGGCAGAGCCCACATGCTAAATCAGGTGGCTAAGACCACTGAACCCCCAGAAGCTCCCTGGTGGTGAAAAGAATCTGAATTTCCGGGCACGGTGCCACACAGCCTGCCTGTCAGCGGGCTCCTCTGCACAGACACCAGTCTCCCCCACCTCTTGGCTGCTCGCCAGGTCTTCCCGGCTGAACCTCCACCATGGGGCTGGTGAGATCTCCCCTTCCCAGCCTGCATCCCCATGAGCAGGCACCTACCCCCGCTAGGATTCTAGAATGAAAAAAAGCTATATATATATAAAAGCCTAAGCAACCATTTGACCAGTAGCGCTGACACACACTGACCACCAAGGGGGCAGATGCTTCGACCGGTAGGTTACCTTGCTGCTGGGGTCCGGCAGATGGGGACCGGCCCTGAAGCCCTCCTGCCGTCCCTCCCCTGCCCCGATTGTGCACCTGTGGCGTCCCTCTACCTGGCCTGCGCCCTCTCACAATCCGGGACCCCTCGCGGGATGTCGGAGAGCCACAGGCCAGGCCGAGGAACCCCACCGGTGCATGAATCCGTGCACCAGACCTCTAGTCTAGAATAAAATGAAACATTCTTGCTCACAGCAGCATGATTCACAACAGCTAAAAGGAGGAAACAACTCCAATGTCCAGCAGCGGATAAATGGATAAATTGTGATTCATTCACACACTGGAATAGTATTCAAACTTACAAAGGAAGGAGACTCTGACACCTGCTACAACATAGATGAACTTTGAGGACATTATGCTCAATAAAATCAACCAGACACAGAAGGATAAATACTGTTGATTCCACTCATATGAGGTTCCTGGAGGAGTCAAACTCACAGAGACAGAAGGGAGATGGTGGGTGACAGGCTAGGGGAGAGGGAGGCAAAGAAGTTAGTGTTTAATAGGGACGAAGTGTCAGCTTGAGAAGATAAGAAAGTTCTGGAGATGGATGGTGGTTATAGCTGCACTTAAAAATAGTTAAAATGGTAAAGTACATGTTATGTGTATTTTGCCACAATAAAAAGAGGAAAAATATATTAGATTTTCCACCCTACCCTTAAAAAAACACAACCTTGGGGGACTTACTAAAACTCCCATTTTGGAGATGGGCAAACTGAGGCACAGTTTGGGTATTGATCACTGGATCACAGTTTTGCGAAGGGGGCTGCCTGGCCTCCATGCTGACCCCTGCCCAGGGTTCCTAAAGCTGGGTGATCACCAGCTGGGGCCTCGGCCTGGCCGCCCACACCCTGAATCCCTACACCCCAGGTCACAGCTTCACTCCCCCTCCATTCTGCTTTCTTGCCAACCTGAGATAACTCCCCAGACTCAGCAGATTTCCCTGGAGAACTGCAGGAAGCTTCGCTCAAAATACCTGCTTCAGGTGAGGGGGCAGCTGCTGAGACAGCAGCCAGACTCCCAGAGGTCTGCCTTGGGAGGCTCGAGGGGCTGGGCATGGGGTCAGCCTGGGCACAGTCCTCTTCTCCTAGAAGGTTCCAAGGTGGCAGAGGGGACTTTGCAGATGGATTAAGTACCCTGAGGTGGGGATGACCCTGAGATGGGGATGACTCTGGAGAAACACCAGAGAGGGTGGTGTTTCTAGAAAGAGCTGACAACAACGGATGCTTGGAGGGTGGGAGAGGCAAGGATAAGGTCTAATCCTGGACCAGTAGAAGCCAAGTTCCCCCACTCACAACGCCGGGCCAGCCTCAAGGCAATGCCCTGCCGCAGTCATGGGGTTTCTGAAGCACAGAGGCAGGGTTCCCTCCTGCTGACTCTGCTCACGAGGCCCTGTCCCCAGAGGCTAAGCTCACACTCACGAGTGCAGACATGAGGAAGTCCAGTGCAGTTCAAAGGCCAGGAGACCAGAGAAGTACCTGGAGCCAGGGTGAGTCATGTCTGCCCGGGTGTGCCCACCTTGGCACCTTCTAGGAGAAGAGGACTGTGCCCAGGCTGACCCCATGCCCAGCCCCTCAAGCCTCCCAAGGTAGACCTCTGGGAGTCTGGCTGCTGTCTCAGCAGCTGCCCCCTCACCTGCAGCAGGTATTTTGAGCGAAGCTTCCTGCAGTTCTCCAGGGAAATCTGCTGAGTCTGGGGAGTTATCTCAGGTTGGCAAGAAAACAGAATGGAGGGGGAGTGAAGCTATGGCCTGGGGTGTAGGGATTCAGGGTGTGGATGGCCAGGCCAGGGCTTCAGCTCATGACCACCCAGCTTTAGGAACCCTGGGCAGGGGTCGGCATGGAGGCCAGGCAGCCCCCTTCGCAAAACTGTGATCCTGTGATCAGCACCTTTGGGGAAGGAATATTATACTACTGATGGCAGAGCATAGACTTTGCAGTGTCTTTGAAACTTTCTGTAAATCTAAGATGATTCAAAAATTAAAAATTTATTTTAAAAACCCACAAGAATTAGGAGATCATTATAAGAAATTCAAGCAAAACCTATAAGGCAGTGACTCAAAATCAACTATAACCCCTGCCTCAAGATTGTCGTAGCCAACCCTAGGCAATTATCCTTCAATTTCCTGTCTGAGTTTATATTAACATGCATACTTCTTCTTTTATAAAAATGTCATCACATTGTGTATGATTTTGCTCATTTTCCCCACCTAACAGCATACCTTAAGTGACTTGACATTTCTGAATCACTGTTCCAGGCTCCCCAGCCCCTAAGCCATGTGAGGCCCCTGCCCCTCTCTGGCCTTGAAGCAGACCCCCTTGCTTCATGTGCTCCAGCCACACAGGCCTCCCCTGGGCCTGGGCCTCACCCTGCTCCTTGGCCACCTGACCTTTGCATAGGCTGCTCCTCTGCTGAGAACACCCTCTCCCTCACACCCTCTCCCATCCAGTTCCCCTTCATCCTCCAGGTCCTGCCTGGAGCATCCCCACTTCAGGCAAGCTCCCCACACTCCCAACCCAAAAGGAGCTGAGGGCACCCATCAGGTGTGGGTGTGAAGTCGTCCCAGGACCTCTGAGTCCCACTGGGTGTGACTTTACCCCTCTGTACCTCAGTGTCCTGACCCGTAAAGTAGGGGTGAGGAGTGTCACGTCACATCTGAGCGCCCCCAAGGCAATGGTGCCTCTCCATAGGTGAAGGGCTCAGTCCCGGGGTCAGTGCCTGAGCAGTAGGACCTGTCTGGAATGAGGGTGAAGGAAAGGATGCTGCTTCTCATTAGTGGATACCTCTTAATC